CCGGGGCTGGGGGCAGGGTGGGGGGGGGGGGGGGGGGTGTTGGATGGGTGGCTGAGAAGTGGCTTTGGTGGGGACAAGCGTCTGGGGATGCGTGGTGGCGGTGCTTTGTCCCTAAGTAGGGCTCTTGCGCTGTGTTGTGTCCCCCAACCTTCTGCCACCGTGACCCCATCCCTTCTCCCACCATGTCCCCAAACCTTCTCCCACCGTGACCCCATCCCATCTCCCACCGTGTCCCCATCCCTTTTGCCTCCATGTCCCCATCTCTTTTCCCACCGTGTCCCCATCCCTTCTGCCATGGAGTCCCCATCCCCTCTGCCACCATGTCCCCAACCCTTCTCCTACCATGACCTCATCCCTTCTGCCACCATGTCCCCATCCCTTCTGCCACCGTGTCCCCATCCCCTCTGCCATGGAGTCCCCATCCCCCCTGCCCCCATGTCCCCACCCCTTCTCCTACCATGACCTCATCCCTTCTGCCACCATGTCCCCATCCCTTCTGCCACCGTGTCCCCATCCCTTCACCCACCGTGGCCCCATCCCTTCTGCCACCGTGTCCCCATCCCTTCACCCACCATGGCCCCATCCCTTCTGCCACCGTGTCCCCATCCCCTCTGCCATGGAGTCCCCATCCCCCCTGCCCCCATGTCCCCACCCCTTCTCCTACCATGACCTCATCCCTTCTGCCACCATGTCCCCATCCCTTCTGCCACCGTGTCCCCATCCCTTCACCCACCATGGCCCCATCCCTTCTGCCACCGTGTCCCCATCCCCTCTGCCATGGAGTCCCCATCCCCCCTGCCCCCATGTCCCCACCCCTTCTCCTACCATGACCTCATCCCTTCTGCCACCATGTCCCCATCCCTTCTGCCACCGTGTCCCCATCCCTTCACCCACCATGTCCCCATCCCTTCTGCCACCGTGTCCCCATCCCTTCACCCACCGTGGCCCCATCCCTTCTGCCACCGTGTCCCCATCCCTTCTGCCACCGTGTCCCCATCCCTTCTGCCACCGTGTCCCCATCCCCTCTGCCATGGAGTCCCCATCCCCCCTGCCCCCATGTCCCCACCCCTTCTCCTACCATGACCTCATCCCTTCTGCCACCATGTCCCCATCCCTTCTGCCACCGTGTCCCCATCCCCTCTGCCACCGTGTCCCCATCCCTTCTGCCACCGTGTCCCCATCCCTTCACCCACCATGGCCCCATCCCTTCTGCCACCGTGTCCCCATCCCTTCTCCCACCATGTCCCCATCCCTTCTGCCACCGTGTCCCCATCCCTTCACCCACCGTGGCCCCATCCCTTCTCCCACCGTGTCCCCCAACCCTTCTCAAGATGGCTTCTGCCTTGGAGCCTTGATCCTCTGCTGGGACCATCTGGCTCTTGGCTGACCGTTTCCCTGAGCCGTAACTCCTCTGGTTCCCCGTCCCCGCCCCACGTTAACCCTCTCCGAGCCGGAGAGGGCTGCTGGGGACGTTCTCTTTCCCCGACAGATTTGGGGTCAATCAAGGAGGAGGAGAAATGGCAGCAGGATGCTCTTGAGCAAGCGGATGCACCGGTGGAACCCCCGACCTCCAGCCAGCAGTGGTCCCCCGGGACCCATCCTGGGGGATCCCCGCTCCCAGGGGACAACAGGAGCGATGAGGCACCCAACACCTGCCGTGAATGCGGGAGGAGCTTCCGTTGCCGCTCGGCGTTGGTGAACCACCATCGCATACACACGGGCGAGCGACCCTTCAGCTGCCAGGATTGCGGACGCCGCTTCAACCGTCGCTCCAACCTGACCACCCACCGACGCATCCACACCGGTGACATGCCCTACAAGTGTCCCGACTGCGGGAAGAGCTACCGCGTCAGCTCCACCCTCCTACGGCATCAGAAGACGCACACAGACGAACGACCTTACCGGTGCGAGGAATGCGGGAAGAGCTTCAGGCATAGATCGACGTTGACCATCCATCACCGCGTGCATTCGGGGGAGAGGCCCTACAAGTGCCCCGAGTGCCACAAGAGCTTCAAGAACAGCTCGGAGCTGGTGCGGCATGGGCGGACCCACACCAGCGAGCGACCCTACGATTGCTCCCAATGCGGGCGACGTTTCGGCGACAGCTCCCAACTGGTGCGGCATTGGCGGACCCACACCGGCGAGCACAAGCATTCCGACCCAACCTGCGGGAAGAGCTTTTCCAACCGTCCCAGGCTCGCCAAGCACCAACAGGTACACACCGGTGAGAAGGATTACCGCTGCCCCGACTGCGGCAGAGGCTTCAACCGTCGCTCCAACCTCCTGGTTCACCAGCGGTCCCACCTGGAGCAGAAACCCTTTATTTGCCTGGATTGCCCCAAAAGCTTCACCAGCAGCACCCAACTCATCCAGCATCGGCAGATCCACAGCAAGGAGAAGCCTTAGGGTTACGCCGAGCGCAGCAAGAGCTTTTGGCGCAGCTCCGGTCTCGTCTCGCATCGCAAGAGGCACCAGCCAAAGACGGGGGCCACCCCACCGGGGACCATCCCCATCCTGGTGGCATCTCAGACCTACCTACGCGTCACGGTGGTCCCTGGCGGTAGCACCGAGGGGTAACCAACCCATCCACCCGCATCCCACCAGCTATTATTTTTCTTTCCCTGTATGTTTTTATATGTAAAGGGGTTTTTTGGGGAGGTGGTTTTAAAAGAAGACACCCCCATCCTCTGGTTTTTTTGCCTTAGCTTATAGATGAGGGGAAGGGAGGGAGGGGAAACCCATGAGCTTCACCCAAGAAAAAAGAAATCACGGTAAAATGGGTTTTTTCTAGATGTCTCAGTTCAATTTCTTTATTTTTTTCAACCCTATTTAGGGTCTTTTTAAGGGATGGGGAGGGATCAAAAGAAAACCACAGCCAAAATAAAAGCATTTGCGTGTTGGCATCGTGTGAGTATCTCTGTGGCGGTGACGAGGCGGGGGCCGTGTGGGTGGAAGAGCCTTTTTTGGAGGGGAAAAACTGAAAAAAAATCCCCAATTTTGGGGGGCCGGGAGCATCTCCTGCGCCCGGAGGGTGTGAGACACCCCCCCCCCGGGAGCGGCGGCGGGGGTGGTGGGGCTGGGGTGGAGACCCTGGAGCTGGGATCGGGCTCTCCATCCCCCCTCCGTTTCCCTTGGACCAGGATGAGGGTTCAAAGCAAACCATGGATGAGGTTTATTTGGCGCCGGCGGTTATGTCGCAGGGGTGTGCAGCAGCCTTCCAAAACGTGGACGCCGCGAGCCCGCGTGTCCTCCTCGCTCTCCGCCCATCCACGGAGGTGTCCCACCACTCCCATGCGGCACCATTGGGAAAAATTCAACCCTCGGGACGGCCAAGCCCCAGCCTGGATGAAAACGGGGTGTTTCGGGTTCAACGAGGCCACACCAAGGAGGTGAGGGGAGGAGAAGTTTATTGCAGCCGAGTTCGTGTTTAGTTTCGGCAGGACGAAGGGAGCAAGAGCAGGACGTGGAGTTGGGCTGTGCCCATCTCCATCCCTAAGGTGTTGCAGGAGCCTCTTCTGAAGCCCTTCGGACAACTCAAAGAGTTTATTCATCCAAAGACGAACCGTAGATGGGCAGGACAGAGGTTGCACGATGCCGCCGAATAACATCACGTGGAAAAAAAAAACCCCACCAACACCTGTAAATGAGGAAGAACTCAGCCTGGCGTGTCCCAACAGGGTTGTGGGACCATTTCCACCCCGTTTCTTCCTTCCCGAAGAAGCTGAGTCCCGAGCGGTGTCTTCAAAATCTTGGTCTGCGCCCAAATCCACCCACCATTTGGCTGCGGAAGAAGCCCGTGGTCCATATGGCGTCGCTTGATGCCACCAGAAGAAATTACTGGACCAAGCAGATGTGACTTTTTGGAGTCTGAAGCCAAGGAGTCCACTCTCCCTAACGAATTTCTGCCATTGGTCTGCGGCCCACAGCTGAGCCCACCTCAGCAAATGGATGTTCCTACCCGCATTCATCCAGGTCCCTATGGGGAACCAGGAAGATGCGGGGACCACCAGCCAGGTCTCTACCCAACATGGGTCACCAGGGCTCTACCCAACGTGGGTCCTCCGATGGGTAATGAAGTTCGAACAGCGGATAAAGCTCTTCCCGCAGTCGGGGCACTCATAGGGCTTCCCTTCCCGGTGGGTCCTTTGGTGTTTAATCAAGGCAGAACTCACGGTGAAGCTCCGACCGCACTCAGGACACTCATAGGGCTTCTCCCCGGTATGGATGCGTTGGTGGGTCATCAGGTTGGAGCTGCGGTTGAAGCTCTTCCCGCAGTCGGGGCAGCGGTAGGGTCTCTCACCCGTATGCGTCCGCTGATGCCTGATGAGGTCCGAGCTGTTCCTAAACCACTTCCCGCAGTCAACGCACCTGTAGGGCTTCTCCCCGGTGTGGACGCGCTGGTGGATGATGAGGCTGGAGCTCTGGCTGAACATCTTCTCGCACTCCTCGCACTTATAGGGTCTCTCCCCGGTGTGGATCTTCTGGTGGCGGATCAGGTAGGAGCTGACGCTGAAGCTCTTCCCGCACTCGGGGCACTTGTAGGGTCTTTCCCCGGTGTGGGTGCGTTGGTGGGACGTGAGGTTGGAGCTCTGGTTGAAGCCCTTCCCGCAATCGGGGCATTTGTAGGGCTTCTCGCCGGTGTGCAAGCGTTGGTGGGTGATGAGCGTGGAGCTGTCGCTGAAGCTCTTCCCGCAATCGGGACACTTGTAGGGCTTCTCCCCGGTGTGCAGACGTTGATGGGTGATGAGATGGGAGCTCCGGCTGAAGCTCTTGCCGCACTCCAAGCACTTGTAGGGCTTCTCGCCGGCGTGCAACCGCTGGTGCACCGCCAGGTTCGAGCTCCGGCTGAAGCTCCGACCGCATTCCTCGCAGATGGTCGGTCTTTCCTCCTCCGAGCTTCGTGGGGTGGGTTTGCAACCTCTCCCCGTGGAGCATCTTCTTGGCTTTTCCTCTTCGTTGACCTCCCGCCCCGTGGAGCATCTCCTTGGCTTTTCCTCCCCGTTGACCTCCTGCTCCATGGAGCCCTTCGAAACAGCCTCTTCCACAAGGTTCTGCCGGTGGGGTTTCTCCTCCGTGTTCTCCATCCCCACCTCATCGCCTGCCGGAGGAAGGAACAAGGAGAGGAAGGGGATTCGCATCCGTGCCAGAGGGAAGGGGAAGGAGATCCTCCCAGATCCGTTTCCGGGAGGACGGCGTCAGCAACAGGGCTGTCCTGCAGCCGGAAGCGATGCTCGGCTGGAAGATGGAGGAGAAGAGAGGATGAAAGGCCGAGTGAATTCTTCCTCACCTGCCTGGGTATCTCGTAGCATCTCCTCTTCCTCGCAGCCTCCTCCCCTTCATCTGGCCAAGGTTTGGGAATGGGAAATCCTGGGTTTGGGGGGGGGGAAAAACAAGCTGTGAGCGCGTTCCCCAGTTTGGGTTGTGGGTTGCTCCTGCCCAAGTCCATCCCTACTGAGAAGTCAACGGGCAGGACACCACTTGTGTCCCTAAAACCCTCCAAAACACCAAGACGCAGCCCAGAAAACCCCTCCGAAACACCAAGATACGGCCAAGACGTGGGGCCAGCGTTACAAATGCAGAGATCCATCCTCAAAAGGGAGGCGGAGGAGAAATAAGGACCTTGTCCTGCTTGGGAAATGTGGTTATGGGAAGGGAAGGACCAGCGTCATGTCCCTGCAACCCCTGTCCCACCGGAGCTGGAGAGGGGAGAAGGCCAAGGGCAAGGTCAGCGACGTGCCTGGCTGCGGCTCAGCCCCGAAATCACTTGCTCTCAGGCCCAAAACCACCCGACGCAGCACCCAGACGCGAGTGGGAAAGAAACGGGACTGTGATGGACCACCCGGTTCGACCCAGAAGGGTGGGGGTCTGCAACCAGCCCCCCCCCCCCGAAGGCC